TTTTTTTCTTTATCCCAATACGAGCTTCAAGCAGCTAATTTGCGACAAAGTAGAATGCCCGTATTACCACAACTGCAAAACTAGGTAAAATGCCCAAAAGTGTACAGTAATTTCCAAAATGGGCAAAGGCACCTGATTATTCAACAAACCGGGAAAAGATAAGAAATAGGATGAAGAAACACTAGAGAATGTGAAAATATTAGTGAGTGGTTTTAATAAGATAGCTTTTAGACCGATCATCAATACGGCCCCCCCAGCGCAATCGAAAAGTTCCTGTCCGCCATAAAATGTTAGGATTCATCAGCGCCCTACACCAAGTAGGGAAGGCGGAACCCTCGCGATATAACCAAATAACAAGAAATTGCATAAACGAAAAAGGCAAAGAACCATTCTAAAACAAACCTAACTTAGTCAGAAATGTCTTTTTAAAAAACGACAGAGAATCAACCTATCTGAGATTGTAAAGATACAAAGAACTGACTAAAAAACGACCCATTATCTAAAAAAAGTGTAAACAAAACCCATAGAAATTTAGCTAATGCGAGACTAAAATTGGAAAGGTGGTCCAAAATTCAAAATCTTCGGATACGACACCACCAAAATCATTGAATAACTTGAAGATAAATTTTGAATGACGAAGTAAAGTAAAAGCAAGAAGAGTACCTGAACAAGATGAATAAGAAGATAATCGCAGGAGATCCAATATATCAAATGTCCTATAAAGTAGTAAACGAAAAACAATGGGCTAACTGGAAACAGAACTAGAAGGCAACATCCGCCAAGAATACCAGAAACAAAACAATCTTGAAGGGGTTCCAATATGATTGTATGCGGAAGCATAGCCAATCTAAGTTTAATCCACCTATAAACGAATGAGTATAAGTTAAAAGCTTTTAAATTAATTATCAAACACATGGTTACAGCAACATGAAAATCAAACCGGCAGTAAAGGCTTAGAATTAATTAATAAATAAATAAAGTAAACCTGCAAATTCTTTCATGGAATTTACGAGGATCCGGTTTAGCCGCATTCTGTAGAGCAGGAAGTCTTGAAATAACGCTTCTCCATCCCCTTAAAAGAAATAAGTGCGAAAGCTACTTTTAAACAAACTTTAGCGTCACTTCAAGACCACTAAAAAGGAAGCCAAGCAAATTTTATTTGGAAAAAGATAGTAACATAAAAACGTGCATAAACATCGGTTTTTTACGTTGAAGAAAACATGTACACTTTAGAAGGCTATATATTTCTACAGTGAAAAACGTTTAAAGCAAAAATGATTTAACTCGATACGGGCTTACCTTTTTGCAAAAGCCACACCAAAGAAATAGTCTTCTGCAAGGAAGGCCCCAAATTTGTGCATGCCACCAGCATCTTCTATAGCACATTTTCGCATTAATGAAGACATACCTGTTGAACAAATAAATCGAAGACAATTTCCAGCCAAATATATACGTGCATGGCCAGTACCAAAGTATACCTGAGTTTTATAAAAAACTATATGCAATAAAAAAAATTAAATGACTGAAAAAGTTAGAAACCAACACATGATTTGAAAAAAAACATCATTGATAAAAGCAAGTAAATCGAATTTAGAAGAAGTTTTATTAAGAGACCCAAGTATAAAACAGCCTTAGCAAACCTGCTCCAAATTTGCACCAAAACCAGGCCTGTTTAGACAATAGGGCATTTGGGTAACTAAGGCTACATCGTCCGTCATTGATATCACCATATCTAGTAAGGCATCTTCTCGCACTTAAAAATAAAAATAATGAAACTAACGTAGGAGGATATGCTACAAATGCCTAACGTGCTTCAGATTAAACATACTGTAAATGGCGCTATCACTGACAAGTACTAAAGGATACTTAGACGCTCTGTACGCTGGCATCATATTGTTGATTTTGGGATTTAATCCGACAGTCTCACCTCCTGTAAAACAGAAAGTTAGCTGAAAATTAAAATCATAATTTAGAGAATATTATAAAAGAATAATAAAAATATTTTACGTGCTGTGATGGAAAAGTAAATCGATATATTCTCTAAAAACCTATTACACATTTTAAAACCCTTCCTCATTTTTGCAGAAATATATTTCAGATATTCCCAAAAAGTTTCACTTTCCTTTTCTCACAAAATGAAACCTTTTCTTTTTTAAGTGTCCTTCTTTGATAAATCTTTTTATAATATGCCCAAATGGCTAAATTTTTCAGAAAGTCTGAAAACGAACAGATCTGCAACTCTTCTTCCAAAATAAAACCCTTTTAACTTTCGCTTATGTTTTAAAGTAAAACAGAATAAAAAGCCACTGCGTATCTGTGCGGTTTGAGGCAAAAAGACTTTTTGACCTTATGCATTTTTAAAGCTTTCATGCTTCAAAACTATACAGCCCACTTCTTTCTGAAACCAAATGGCGCAAAAATGTAAAAAGAAGGATTTCTTCTTATAAAAATAATTTTTTTTTTGAAGTACGCAACTCTTCTCATTCTGAAGAAATCAGGTTCGTGTTATTTTTTAAACATTATTTTTTACTTAAGAAAACAAGCAATACATACGCGTATTTGCAACATTTCAGACTGACAAAAAGAAGAAATAAAACTTTAAATCTTTGTACCTTGAAATCATTACTAATACTTTCTCATATGAACAAATTCCCTGGTAAAATTGTTTTCTGCACAGCGACACCGAAATTTCAAGTTATTGATTTTGAGGGGATAGACGATGCAAGTAAAATTTAGGTACAAAACTAGAAAGATTTTCAAAGCATCTCGCCAGCAAATCATTTCCCAAATTCAAAAAATCTACTGCTCCTGAACGGTAAAAGTACTAATAGTGAAAGACGTCTATTAAAAGTCAATTACCGTAAAACACTTGAGTGTCTACTTCGGGATATTTGTTTACAAGAGCTTCTACAACTTTGGCTGCAGGATCGTCTCTTGTATGAAAACAAAACAAGAGTTCATACTGAAATACATACTATTAAGTATTTTCCTGTAAAGGATTTAATTAAATAAAACAACCCCCCTGAATATATAGAAACCGTGAAAATTAACTTTAAAAATATAATGCCTTACAGTCGGGTACTTCATCTTGAAAAAACTTTCAAGATTGAAAAACAAGTTCTCATCTGTACCAACGAGGGGCTTTATTATAGAAACACCAGGCAAATCTTTCTTATATACTACACGGTGATGCAAACGATACTTCCTGAAAATACAAATGAAAAGGTAAGGTGACCAATTCGGTTTGCAAAGAAAATTCACCAATAAAAACTGTCTAAAACTAGAACTCTTATTAATGTAAACACCTATATTCCTTTCAAAAATTTAACAAATTCTAAAATCACAGAAAAGAAGAAACAAAACGTAATCAAAAATAAAAATTTAACGAACTTTGAAAAGATGTGTTTTCAAATAGACAATGCGAGATTTAGTTTTACTATTTTTTTCATTAATACGAACTTTAGTTTCTGTTTCGTCTGATTGTAAAGCCAGGAAACTTACGCATAAGCAATTGCGATCAAGTGAATGAGATATAAAGAGCAAACAAAAGCTGCACCGCAAAACGCTAACGGCACTGCTGCATTTGCAATCATGTTAATAAAAATCTGAGCCAACCGCATCTGAGGCCATCTAAAACAGTTCGCGGAAATGTACTAAATTATAGATAGCACAGCAAACAACATTTCAGCAGAAAACAATGAGGAATTTAAGCTTAAAAAACGATGATTATATAACGATACCTGAAAGTCAATGGTCCTACAAAACTGAGAAAGGGGAAGAGAAGTTGATTCGGCGAAGATGCAGCAGTACTTGCAGCACAGAGTGCCGAATTAAGCAAACTCGTTGCCACGCTTGGATTTATAGCGGCTTCCATGAAGACATGCCGCTACGACTAAAAATTTCTAGCTTTATAAATTTGACTATACATAAAAATATACTTAAAATAACTCTCAACTCGATACAAATGTATAAAATGTGTATAAAAATAGAATCAAGGAAACTTTACTATTTCATAGGAAACCGACCAGGAACACTCTTACGGTGCCCTTAAAACGTAAGCTTTCGACTAATATAAAACACTTTTTGCTCTCTTAAACCTATAGAAGAAGATCTGCGTTCAAAAACCTATCCTTCGATCAGATATACTGAATGAATCCAGCAAAAAGCTTTAAAATACATCTACTTTATGTGGGCACAACAAATACAAAACCAAGCAAAAAAATATCCGACAATTAATTTCCTCAACCACTTTTAAATTCAATAAAATATTCCACTCGAAGAAATTTCCGTAAATGTGAAGAGGATAATTTAGCAGAAAGACTTTATTTTTCAGTAAGAGAACTTTTTTTTTTTTTGCCGGAAACACTAATAACAAAAAATGAAACATAATGTTTACTTGCAAATTCTATCCAAATAAAATCCAGACAATTACCCACAAATAATAAAATTCACAAAAAAAAAATAATCCGAATTATATAAAGTCTACTAAATACAGAAAAAATCCAAAAATAAAAGGTTTAAAACTGAAATGCAGATAATTGCAACATTTCCATTCTTTCTAAGAAAAAAAACTGAAGCAATGCAAGATAGAATGAGCAATCGATTGCGAGCAAAACTATAAACAAACAATAAAGCAGAGCCAGGAATAGCTTTCTATACCAAAAAAATAAGATAAAAAATTGGTCGTTGAAAACCGATAGCATTTTATTTTACTCTTTTAAACTTGCGAAAAAATGAAGGAAAAGAGCGAACAGAGCGAACTAGAAGTGCTAGTAATGGTATAAAAACACACTGCGTCTCCATTTTTAAAACAAAGAATGAATTGCATAGTAGAAACTTGAATTTGCGAAGCATATGAATTTCAGATTTGAATCTATGAGAAGAAGGAATGCTGAAGAGGTGAGAAAAGGTAGTGTATTGTACAAAACAGGTCATCCATACACTTTCATAAGAAAGCCCATTGCAAGACAGAAATAACAGTATCAATGAGCCACACGAATAGTACATACAACATAAGAGAAAGAGTATAATACAGGCTCATCAACAGTCAGTCCTAATAGCCATTAAGTCCTTCCAGCCAACTACCATCTATCCAAATTTATTTCTCTTCTATAACACCCGCCTATTCTCGTCACTCACCTCCACTGACATTCATCACCGATGGACTTTCCAACAGAACTACCAACATTGGTACACTCTTTGCCATTCTTTTTTATCATTTTTACTAAGTGAAATAAACGAAGATTTCTACAACATTTACTATACCCTTCCACTTTCCGTTTATTAGACCTTAGTTTTGTAAACCTGTGAAGAGTTTACGTGACGATCACAGGCCGGGAAGCAAACTCGACTATATGAAAATCAATTTCATTAAAAAAATATCTGTATTATCTCTTTTATAAAACCTAGTTTGCACCAAACAAAAAAATACAAGCCGCTTGTAATGAAAAACTAATTCTGTTTACAATCTGAGAACACTACAAAAAAATTTCATTTGACTTTTTAAAATGACTTTTAGCCAAAATGCTCCTTGTGACCAATGAACTGAATTTAAATGATTATTCCACGCAGATGACAAAGTCCAAATTTACAAGAATTCCAAAAATAAAAATAAGACAGTGGACACTTCTTCCATTTAAAAACAAAGGAAAAAATTAAAAACAAAAATCTCGATATCTAAGAGATGAAAACCTTGAGTAAATTGGGAGCGCAACTTAAAAATTAATTCCAGTGTAAGCTATTGCTGTTCATGGAACCAGCCTACATTACACCACCACTTAAAGATTTGAAGCAACTGAAGATTAGAAAGCTTTTCATGTAAATACATAGCAAAAATTGTAGAGTTAGAATATAAAACCCAACAATACAAAACTGATTACAGCCAATTATAACTGCAGCGACCTCTACTTCACATCCACCAGAATATCTGCCCTTATAAATATTACAACCGAGTTTCTAAAACATTTACATAGTTACAGACACAGTCAACCAACTATACCATCCATAAAATAGGCATCACCATAAAATCATTACAAGACAGATATATTTCCTCCAATTCGAGCACACCATACTACGTTTCCACATCAAGCAAGCCTCAACTTCCCTGATATTGCGGCAAAAGCATGCAGTGCGTTCCATTCATATTGGTTACAGAAGTTTCAATCAAACTTAACAGCAGTGATACCGATAAGGTTTCAAAAAGAATGCATATTTCGATTCTTTTTTAATACCTAATCACCCTAACATGCCAAAAGGTGATAGCACTCAGAATAACGTCGATAATAGGTCATAGTAAATCAATGAGGGACGATAAACCAATAGTTATAGTAGAAAAACAATTTTTGCTTTACAAAACCGGTTTCGCTGCTGCATTTACTCATCATCCCATCACAGAAACGCAAACACACATAAATATCTAAACACAAAATCTACCCATCAACAAAATTTATTCCCCCATCATAATTCCAAGCTTCATATTGATAAAAGACAAAAACCTGATGTCATATACCGATACATCTGCAAGCCACTAAAAAA